ATCCTATTCAATGCAATTTCAATCAAATTCCAACAAGATTTTTGCAGAAATTGAATGCTGATTCTGAAATTTATATAGATATGCAAAGGGTTAAGAATACCCTTTTGAAGAACAAGGAGGGAGGACTTGTTCTGTTGGATATCAAGCTACAGTTGTTAAAACAATGTGGCATTGGTGCCAGGGTAAACAAATAGGCCAATGAAACAAAATAAAAAAATCTAGAAACAAATACAAAACATAATATCTAAAAACAGTCCTGTGACTATCTGGAGAGCAGATACATGATGAAGGTGGCCCCGGAAAAGACAGTCTTTTCATAAATTGTGTGGGATCAGCTGGTTATCCATATGGAAAAAAATGAACTGTGACTCTACACCTCACATTACGTGCAAGAACCAATTCCTGATAAACTCTAGATCTAAACGTGGAGTTTCCAAAACATAGGGGGTTTTTTTTTGAGACAGGATCTTGCTATGTTGCTCAGGCTAGTCTAAAACTCCTGGGCTCAAGTGATCCTCCCACACCAGCTTCCAGAGTAGCTGGGATTATAGGTATGCACCATGGTGCCCAGCTCAGATAATGCTTTTGTTTCTAATAACAAATGATCTCTAGCATTCCAGTAGAATTTGGGGCATTTTAAGAGCAGGATTCATTTCTAACTTTCTATGGTTTATAGTAGCATGATGTCCAGCAACTAGCAGGTGGACAATATATATTTGCTGAATGAATAAACACACATGGGTTTAACTGTATGGCCATAGTTTCTGGTCTCAAGGGAACTCAGAAAATAAGCTAGAATTACCAAAAGTTATGTATATAGCAAAATATAATAAAACACATACATATTCATTTTTACTACAGATTGAAGTATAGTGCAAAAAAGCACTTAAATATGTATTTGATGATTCTGGTAACTTCGTCTATGATGCTTTCCTGATATCCCTGGCCTTAAGTGATTCTCCTTCCTTGGTATGGCTATACTGTGAAGTTATGTGATTCATCTGACACTGTAAGAGAATAGGCGGTATCTTCACACATTCCTTTTCTTCCCAAACTGTTATCTACACAGCTGCTCATTTTTGTCTTTCCAGCTTCAGCTTACATAGTACGTCTTCCAAGAAGCCATCCTTGACCAACCCATGTCAGGCAGCGGGGACCTTCCCCTAGCTGCCTACTGTCCTCTCTCACTTCACCCTAATCTTCATTTCTTTCATTGCCATTACTATTTTCATTATTTACTTGACTGAGTATTTTTAATTGATTATTTTGTAAGCATCACAAAGGAAGTAACCACGTCAGTTTCTGTCAGTATCTAACCAGGGCCCAATAGGGTACTTTGCACAAATATTAACAAGTATCTGTTGGATAAATGAATTTTATTTTAGAATCTGAGTAGATGCCTTATCTCCTTAAATATTGTTAGTATTTTGAGGGTGGGGGAAGTAACTTAGTTCTATATCCTGCATACCAAAAAGTCCTGTGGCTCACACATATAAAGCATGCATTCCTTCAGTACTTACTTATTGAATGAGAAAATAAAAACATTCTTACCTTGCCAAAGCTGCCTTTTCCAATAACTTTTAAGAAATCAAAGTCAGTTGGTTTAGCACTGAAATAAATTAACAATAACAAGAATTAGCCCCCTAAAAACTGGAAAGATAACTAACTTTTAAACATTTCTTAGCACCTCACTCTTTAATAAATAAATGTTAGGCACAAAACACTTCTGCATGATGACTCCAGATTTCCCACTCGTAGGAACTCATCTTTATTATATAACAGGTAATATCAATAGTAGTAATAACTACTTTCTGGTTAAACATTTTATAACTTTAAATCTCATTAAGTTCTGCTTAAGAGTGACTTCAGTAATAATCTCTTTGGGAGAAAAAGATGTATGTGTATGCTACATATACAGTTTTGAACTCAAAGTAGCCTCTATTTAAACCAATTTTATTAACCAAGAACCAATGTTGTTAATGAGGATATTGAATATGTAAATTAGCAATACATTCCAAGGACTACCTAGTATCTGATAATTCTTCTGAAAAGGAAGTTCCTAGTTGGAACACCTAGTAAAGACGTTATGAAAATTTCTGATGGAGAAAAAAGTTACCATAGTGTTTTATCTATAAATCACCTATTGTACATTAAAGATAAAAAATCTCTCTGTTTATTCTCATGGATGATAACACAGGAAAGCCAGGAATAGAAAAGCCAGAAGGAATATTAAGACTGCCCTTTTATTCATGTTAGCCTATCAGGTAAAAATAGCATTGGCTTTATGCAGGCAAGAGCACATAGCAGCAGAAAGTTCAGCTTAAGAAGCCAGAAGAGCTGTTTCTTCCAACACAGTCTGAATTCCTAAGTTGTGCTAAGGAGAAGGGAATGATTCCAGTAAGATTTGAAATTTGCCTTAATTCATTATCAAAATCAATAGTTAATTCAAACACTAGGGCCAGGTTAAATAATAACAGGATTAATGAGATAAATAGTTAACTACATTTATATGTTTTTCTTCTCCAAAAACCTGCTCTTTGGACTATTTTATTCTTTAATGATATTCTGAGATATCAAGATAATTTTTTAAACAAATGTAGAGTGAAAAACCTGCAAATACCTAAAACATAGTAAATAAGATAAGTGAGCCCATACCCAAAGCCCCATTGTTAACTGCCTGTGATGAGCCTTAACCAAAATCAAATTTTTGCTCAATGCTATGAACAGAAAACAATGCTCAAAACCAAACTTATTCTAGTTAGCATTCTATTTCTTTGCTTTCCTTTGCAATAAAACTCCTCGAGTAAGTTTTGAAAACTCACTGTCTCTACCTGCTGTCCTCCTCTAGTTCTCTTGTGAACCCTTTCCTACCAGGGTCTTATACCCACCAAACCATAGACACTGCTCATGAAGATCACCAATGACTTATGGAATCTGGTGGTCCATTTTCAACCTTAATCTTACTTGCACTATCAGCAACATTAACAGAGTTAATTATTCCCTTGTCCTTGAAACATTTTCTTTCCCTGATTTTGGGAAACCATATTCCTGGATTTCCTCCTATCTTACTGACTGCTTTTTCTCTGTCTCCATTACCAGTTATTCCTTGACTTCATGATGTTGAAGTGTCCCAGGACCCAATCCTTAGACCACTTCTCCCATCTGTCTATACTCACTCTCCAAGAAGACCAAGAGGGTAGAGAAAGCCTGGTGTCCTGGGATAAAAAGAATACTTTAGAATTAATCCAATAAGTCTGTGCAGATAATTAAAATAAGGACAGCAACACTACACTCCTCCAACCCATGGCAGATATCACCAATCATTCAGGGCATTCCTCAAACTGAGCTAAGCAGCCCTGGAATCCTTCTTTGTACTGAATCTTCTAGGTGTTCATTTCCAATGAACTGCTGGAGTTGACGTTTGAGATGAAGTCTACACCTGCCAACCCTGGTCTTGTTCAGCATTTCTCAGACTGTGTTTTCACAATGTTTCCCCTGTGCTCAAATACATGTGGGAACATGGGGAGAAACTGAATAAACAAAGTTTAATAGCCTTTACTATGCTAATGTCCATCATGACTCTTCCGGATCAAGCTGGCTAACAAGTAGGGTGCACCAGTAACACTGAGCACCAGGAGAATATCAGGAGTATCAATCAGGCCTGCAAGGGTGCTGAGTACCTCACAGGTACCTCATAGGACTTATGGTCCCCTGGGAAGTATGGTCGACTGATCCCACCCCACCACCACCATACATACACAATAAGATTAGAAAAGCGACAATGACAAAACAGCAGGACCCAACGAACAATCTGTGGATTAAAACTCCTCAGGACTCTACTTAAGCAATGAAAAGCTAGAGCAGTAAATTAGTCAAGCATATGACAGTACTATATTCACTGTAACTATGGTTATATTTCATGGGCCTCCAATTAAAATGGTAAAATTATGCATATCTGCTGCATATTCTCAAAAAAGATCTTCCTAAAATTTAGCTAAAGGATTGTTTGAAATAAATTAAACCTACTGAGGATTTCCAGATGGTCCCAGGTTGATGTTTTGTGAGGTAGAATGTAGCTGTTTGGATGGGGAAAAAAACAACATTCTTATTAGAGCTTCAAAAATTATCAATGTTTAGAAATAAAATATACATAACTGTACCACAGATATTTGGTATACTGTCAGGCTAAAGAAATCTAAGGTTTTAAGAAGCATATAGACTTATTTGGAAACATATATAATTGATATAAATATAATTATTTTTATCATAACCTTCAAAAATAGCTGTAAGGAAAAAAGTAAGCCAGGAATCAACCTCAAAGTTGGCAAATGATGAAGCAAACTGTAAAAGCTCCTTGAAAGAGGTAGGTTTTGAAACCATAGTTTAAGAGGGATCATTTTAATATTGAAAAAAACTGATTAAAAATGGCTGTTTTTCAAATAGCTTATTAAAGACAGAAAATGATAGGATGATGATGATGATTGCAAATGCTGGATTTCCATTTTAATTTGATGGTAGGTAAATACAGACAAAGCAAATACAGACAGCAGTGTTTGTCCAATTCCAGCATTGTGGTAGCCCCAACATTTTAGAAAGGATTTCCTCTTTGTAACAGTTACAATATAGTAAGTTTAACCTCTGGTATTAAGTTAGAAGCAAATTTTTACTCATCTAGTATGCATAAAGCAATTTAACTAATAGAAGATTCTAGTTCACTAATAATTAGCCAGGAATTTAACTCAAAATCTCAAAAGACTAATCTAATAATCCTGTCAGAGTGAGCAGTTTTTATAAAAGCCAAGTGTAGGTGAATTCTGCTTCACATAAATTCACTTTAAAATTCTTTATATAGAGAATTAAATCAGTTATGTCTCAGATATGTATACTTTTACTAGTTCCCTATATAATTATAAATAAGTTATAAATACAAAAAGCTTTTAAAACCTTCTCATTAATCAGAGTCAAGAAAATTTTACCTTGTTCTATTCCTTATTATAGACATGTGTAATATATATTTTACTTAAATTCATTTCAAATTTATAATCTTCAGAATACAAACTATTTTTTTAAAAAAAGGGCAAATACTGTCCTTCAAAAGTTCTTAAGTGTAAGTTTCTTATGAAACAACAACAGTGGCACCAGCATTTTGGTTACAATTCAAATTTATTTCTTCCTGATACCTGTATATAAAAAATCCTCATGTAATAAATTTTCAATCCCCAGAAAACAGAAATATATGAAACTTATGACAATACAGCATAAGACAAAAAAAATTTATAAATTTCACTAAATGAGATTGGTCCTACTGTGGCTTAATTTTAACATGAGAGTAGCTTTTTTTGGTTAAATATTACAGTGTTCCACAGATTCTGACAATGTAATTCAAAGTAAGTTGTAATTTCTTTTTTTTTGAGACGGAGTCTCACTTTTGTTGCCCGGGCTAACGTGAGTGCCGTGGCGTCAGCCTGGCTCACAGCAACCTCAAACTCCTGGGCTAAAGCGATCCTTCTGCCTCAGCCTCCCGAGTAGCTGGGACTACAGGCATGTGCCACCATGCCTGGCTAGTTTTTTCTATATATTTTTAGTTATCTGATTAATTTCTTTCTATTTTTAGTAGAGACGGGGTCTCGCTCTTGCTCAGGCTGGTTTCGAACTCCTGAGCTCAAACAATCCGCCCGCCTCGGCCTCCCAGAGAGCTAGGATTACAGGCGTGAGCCACCGTGCCCGGCCGTAAGTTGTAATTTCAATACACATATTCTTTTAATGAATGTGCAGATAACTGGATCAATTTTCCATTCAATACACTTTTCTTATATGGATGAGGGAAGAGAATTAAATAAATGACAATTAAACAACATGGACAACTTGTCCCCTGAATTATGTTAATATGTAGTTAGATTTTTATTATTTGGCAATGATTTCCCTAATGGAGCATCTTTCTGAAATGATGAAAATTATTCAGATGAGACAATTGTTCACTGTGTCTATTTCTAAAGATGATATCCAAATTAAGGGTGAGATATAATTTATTAAGAGAATGAACACTAACTGAGATCATAAGTTTCTTGACTTCTCTTGGCCTCTATTTTTTCTCTTTATAAACAGGGATCCAGGTGCCTTCTAAGATATTTCATTTGGAATTTCACTTAGTTATCCACTTAACAGTCCTTAATAAACAGTTATCAACTGTAAGACAAAGTATGGCTCTTTTCTTTTATTGAAGAGATTCCTGAATTCTTGAAGAGATTTTTTCTTTTTTTTTATTTGAGACAGGGTCTCACTCTATTGCCCAGGCTGGATAGTGCAGTGGTATCATCATAACTCACTGCAACCTCAAACTCCTGGACTTGAGTAATCCTCCTGCCTCAGTCTCTCAAGTAGCTGGAACTACAGCTGCATACCACCATGCCCAGCTGATTTTTCTATTTTTGGTAGATATAGGGTCTTGCTATGTTGCTCAGGCTAGACTTGAACTTCTGGCCTCCAGGAGTGATCCTCCCGCCTCAGCCTCCCAAAGTGCTAGAATTACAAGCATGAGCCACCACGCCAGCCTGAAGAGATTCTTTTTGTAAATATTTTAAAACTCCAAGAGAGTTCAGTCCAAGTTTCAGACATTATAGATGAAAAAAGAAAAAAAGTAACAAAACTCAGCCAACAGTGGCTGGGTACAGTGGTTTATGCCTGAAATCCTAGCATTTTGGGAGGCCAAGATGGGAGGATCACTTGAGGTCAGGAGCTCAAGAACAGCCTAAGCAAGAGCAAGACCCCGTCTCTACCAAAAAAAACAAAGAAAAAAAAAATTACTCAAGTGTGGTGGTGGGTGACTGTAGTCCCAGCTACTTGGGAGGCTGAGGCAGGAAGGAGGATCACTTGAGCCCAGGAGTTTGAGGTTTCAGTGAGCTATGATGATGCCACTACACTCTAACCTGGGCAACAGAGTGAGATCCTTTTTCCAAAACATAAATAAATCAATCAAAATAAAGCCAACAGTGGCAGAACAGCAGCCAGAACCCAGGAATCTCTCAGTTGGTTATTTCTTCAAAGCCAGCTGTCTCCTGTAGCAAGGCAAGACTTTTTTTTCTTTTTTTTTTTTTTATTTCAGCATATTATGGGAGTACAGATGTTTAGGTTACGTATGTTGCCCCTGCCCCCTCTCCCCACCCAAGTCCGAGCTTCAAGCGTGTCCATCCCCCGGATGGTGCACATCGTGCTCTTTGTGTATACCCGTCCCCTCCTCCCCACTGCCTGACATCTAATAAATGTTATTCTTATATGTGCACTTATGTGTTGATC